TACTAAAATATATAATCTATTTATTGCATTAAAATTATAATATATTGTGTTATATGTAATTATATATACTCCCTCTGTCCCATAACAAAGTATCAATTTTTTCATTTTAGTCTTGTCCCATAGCAAAGTATCTATTTTTTTAGTAACTGTACTTTCTACCTAACATTACAAATACCCTTACAACTTACAATATATTACACAAATGTCATTGCTTTTATATCACATATACTAATAAGGTTATTTTAGTCATTTGTACTTTATTCTTACTATATCTCAATATAATACTAATATTTCTAAAACTACGTGTAAAAAGCAAATGAATACTTAGTTTCGGGACGGAGGGAGTAATATGTTATGATATATATTGTATTAACATTTATTTTATGTATTATATATTGTGTTGTACTATATAATATATTTATTATGTTTATATGTTATTCTTATTGATTGAGTCAAATTAGCACGACATAAGAACCAAATATATTTCTCAAACACTCGAGTCTCATTTTTCAAATTGTTTACATATAACTACTACTTTTAATATTCGAATTATTTATTAAGACATATAAACCTAGGTTAAGCTGTACATGTTCATAAATCCACAAAATAATTTATTAAATAAAATCAATTTTAAATAATAAAATTTCCAAAACCAAAGAAAACATGAATAATTTGTGTTTGAAATGATATTTTTAAATGATAAGTAATAATTTCATTTGATAAAATAATTTTATTTTAAATATATTATGAAAAAAATGAGAACCAATAAATCACGCCCTACATGAACAGAGAGATACTCATTTTTGCCTAGGGGTAGATATTTTTTCCCGTACACGTGTGTTAACGTGATTGGTGGGGAAAGGCATATGGGCAGGGTCTCTCCGATAATTACGGATCTGGGCAGGTCACTAACTGTAATTTGAAGAAAATTGAGAGGCTAAAAGGTAATTACGAAAATATGAATGAATTCTGAGAGGACCACGTGGACTAGTGGCGAGCATTGGCTGCTGCACCAATCCGTACTCTACAAAATATCAACTCTACGCTATATTGACATATTTACCCTCCAGATGTTTTTATTGTATTTAATTCTTCGAATAAATAATTATTGGATTAATTTTTATTTAAAATCTTATATATATATATATTTACATTATATAATCTCTGCATCCCAAATGTAATATTTATAGATACAAAATTTTAGAAAAGGTATATAATTAATAAATTATTAAAAATATATTAGTAAAATTAATTACAATATAATACAAATAATTATAAATTAACATTAAAATTACTAATCAATTTAATTAAAATTAAAAAATTATAAATTATAAAATTTAAAATATAATTAAAGTGTGTATTTTTTTTTAATAAAAAAGGACATGAAATATGACACAATCGAAAATAAAAAATATTTTCTCTCTCTCCCTCTAAGAGTCGCATTTACCTTTTGCGTTATTTTGCTTAACATTAAAAATATTTTTATATTTGTATAAATTTTTATATAAATATCCTTGTAATTTTTTTAAAAATTTATACTATATTTTGAAAAAATATTAAATATTCAAATATTAACACATAACAAATAAATGAAACCCTTATAGTCGGATAGAGGTAATATATCTTTATCTATTAGGTGTAGAAAATAATTAGATTATGCACAAAATGCAGCCAACATCCAACATATATAGAATTTGTTTAGTTGAAATTTAAACTTGATTTGAAATAAATTAATGATTTGATTTTTTTTATTTAAATAATATTTTAATTTGATGTTTTATAAAAAAAAAGATACTTTCTCCGTCCCAATAGAGTTGTCTTATTTTTTTTATTTTCGTTCGTTTCAAAATAATTATCTTGTTCCCTTATTTATGGTGGTTTCCACTTTATAATAAAATTATTTCTACTTTTTCACGCTACTCCTAATTATTACTCTAACCTACTTTTTAAAATCATTCAAAAAGTAATAGTATTTTAGTCTTTTATCTTCTACTTTATATCAACTTTCAATTATATAATATTATTTTTATATTTTCGTGCCCACTCTCACTGAGACAGACACATTTTCTGAACAGAGGGAGTAACATGTTTTTACTAAAAATGATTCTGAATGAATATTGTTAATTTCAATTTAAAATTATACAAAAATAAATACTACTCCATCTATCCTAATACAATAGTCTTTTTTATCATTTTTCTTCGTCCCAAAACAATAATCTTATTTCCATAAATACTCATATTACCATAAAATTATCCCTACATTTTCATTATTATTACACAAATGTCACTATTTTTTACATTAATACACACACAAGGGCAAATAAGTATTTTTACTCATACTTTTTTACCAACTGTCAATATAATATTAATATATTCCTTAAATCTCGTGTCCAACTCAAATAAAACTGTAGTTTTGGGACGGAGGGAGTTGTTTGTTTGAAGGATTTTTGTGGACTTCTACTATTCACAAAAAATTTTCCCCCTAAAAATATCAAATCAAACATCTATTTTTTATTTTTTATATTATACTAAAAATTAATTTTACATTCAAAATATCACATCAATCCATATTTATATCACATCATACAACTATTCCAATTCAAATTTTTTACTATTCAAATCTCAATCCAAAATCCATACCCCAAACAAATATAGTATATTTCAATATTTTATTAATTTGTTCAACAAAAAATAATTATTAGTCTAATTTTTTTTTTTCAAATAAAGTGACAAATAAAAGTGAATAAAGATATTATTATTATTATTATTATTTTTCATACAAATCCTTATTAAATTTAAATTATATTTATGCTATGTTTGTTCGTATATATCTCAAAGTTTTCTATATATGCTATTAATCTCCAATATATTTTTAAAAAAATATAAAAATAAATATTTATTTATTTCACAAATATTATATCATATACCTAATTTTTTCTTTATTTTAAAAAAATATAAAACTTCAAAAAATATATATATATATAATGAAACTTAATTAATAGGTATCGTTATGCAATAAAAAAAAAAAAAAAACTATTTTGTGTTGAAATGGTACTTTTATTAATTTATAAAATACTCCCTCCATCCGCCAAGATGACACATTTTTATTTTTTATCGGTCTCATACAAGATACATTTTTATATTTTTAGTAAATTTATTCATCTTAAATATACTTAACAAATATAAATCAATTTAATTATATTTTTAACTTCTTACACATAGGGCTTACTCAACATCAATTTATTTTTATCTCTCTTCTCAGTTAACAAATATATTTATATATATTTAAAATTGTTCATTTTTTATAAAATTAGTTTTAAGTTAATTATAATATTATAATTAGTTTATTTAATTATTTGTATTATATAAAATTTTATTATCTACAAAATAATATTGGTATAAAATTGTATAAAAAATAATAAACTAATACAATATCATAACTAGTTTACCTAAAATACCTTACTCATAACCAAACGGTACATCCTTGTTGAGACGAAGGAAGTATTATATATCCCTGCTCTCATCTATTGTTAGCGAAAAATAACAAAAAAAATAGTCTAAAATTACTTTACATTTAGGGTGTGTTTGTTTGGGGGTTTGAATTTTGAGTTGGGATTTGAATAGTAAAAATTTTGAATTTGAATAGTTGTTTAATGTGATATAAATAGGTGATGATGTGATGTTTTGAATGTAAAATTGATTTTTAGTATAATATAAAAAATGAAAAATAGGTGTTTGATTTGATGTTTTTGGGAGGAAAATTTTGGATGAATAGTGGAATTTAATCCAAATCCATCAAACGAACACACCCTTAATGGAGATGAAAAGTAAAATGTCATAATATTTTGATTAATAGAAATAAAAAAATAAAATTGATATATAAATGAAGATAATATAAATTATAAATGTAAATAAATTCAAGAGGCACAATCTTAGATGGTAAATCAAACCATATAAATTAGATAGCAAGAGTATCAAATATTTTATTGTGTTCCTTTATAGGATTTTCTCAAAAATTTATTATTCATCACTTTTTTCCTTAAAAGTATTTAATTAAATTTTTTTTATATTATATTTAAATTTAATTTTAAATTTAAAATATTATATCAACTTTTATTTATATCTCATCATATAATTCAATTCTAAATTTTTACTAAATCCCAACTCCATGTCCAAACTATCAAACAAACACACTGTTAATCAACACTATAATCAATAAGATCCATGTAAAAAAATTTTTATTTATTTATTTTTAATACATAAATATTTGTATCATTTAAAACATCATTTTTTTTTTTTTTTTATAAAATTAGTTTCTATTAACTATAAATAATTTTTTTTATTTTATTTTATAAAATAATATTCATATTATATTATATTGAATATATTTTTTAAAATATTTAAATATATATTTTAATTTTTTAATCATATATGAATTTTAATTTTAAAATTATTAATAATATCATTCATATAAAAACAAATTATAATTAACTATTTATTAATTAATTAAGAAAAGTATATAAAGAATACACGGATCATTATGGGTGTGTTTGTTCATAGTTTTTTTATATTTGAATTTTTAAATAATAAAAATTTTAATTTGAATAATTATTTAATACTAAATAAATAGAAATTGATATAATATTTTGAAATGTAAAATAAATTTATATTATAATATAAAAAAATAATTATTTAATATGATATTTTAAAAAAAAAAAATTGTAAAATCCAAAAAAAAAAACAAAACATATGATACTCAATATTGCGGTTAGTAGCTACTCTCGGAGGGGTAAAATGGACATTTTGGCGCCATTAATGTCAGATCGGCTAGCCGACAAACTAGGAGTCGGCAAATGTCGGCCAGTGAGCCGAGGAGACAATCTCGGCTTTCAAATTCTATTTTAGGTTTTTACCACTTTCTCCAATTGCCACTAAATAAATACTAATAATTTAAAATTATTTAGTATTTAGAAAAATTTCGTCGCCAGAATATATATAGACTGTAATTATGGTAATATTTTGTTCCATCATCACCATCTACTCAGCGCCCTCCCTTTCTTCTTCGCACTGTAAAATTCCATTTCCGTTCTCTTCTCTGCTATCTCTTCTTTCATATATCGCGCAAATCTGCTCATCTAAATCGCTGGGCTGGATTTTCCGCCGCAACTGAATAGTGTTTGATGAAGCCTCCTTGGATCATTTGATTCGTGCTGGTACGTTTTCATTGGTTTCAATCGGAGAGCTGTTTATAACGATGTTGGATTTCTGTTGAATTTCAGTTTTTCTGCTGTTTCCGGTGGAGATTTGTTGTTTTCGGAAATGTTTCATCTCGGTTTGACGCTGTTTGTGTATTAAATATTCTTCTTCTTCTGGATTTAGATTCATTTTTCGGCTGAGGATGTGTATTATGGAATTTTATTTCTATTTTGGAAGAAATCGAACAGAAGAAAGGAATAGATATGGCTAGGTTTTCTCATTTAGCTGGATGTGGTGTTGAAACTTGTCATTTGAAAATTGAATCTGGTTTTGATGCAATTTCTTTTATTGCTGTTGGTTAAGAGATTTATAGATTTGCTGTTATGGATTTCATGTATGATTTCGTGCAATGTGATTATTTATTTATCTATTCGGAGCTTTATGACATTTATTTTGTGGTATATTCTTCGTATAGATGGTTTTGATTGGATTATATAATTTGCCATTAATGATTTCCCCTTATTTAGTCGATCCGACTGGTTTGATAACAGTAGAAGTCATCATTGGTTTCTTTTGGCTTTTAGAGCAACTTGAGCTAAAGGATTAATCAAGTAGGTGATAGATAGCATTTCCTTGGAAATAAATTGTATCTGTTGCTGCCTTCCTTTCCAGGATATCACCAAGTCTTTCTGTTGAGCACATTGTCTCTTATCTGCACTGAAAATGGATGCTTCTGAGATTGAGGAAAGTTTAATTGCCATTGGCGAGCCAAAGGTATGGAAATTTTGTTCTGTCTGTTTGCATTGTTGTGATGCTATCATTAGATGTACAATTAAATGTTGCATAACCTTGTGATAAAATGGTGGCTGTTGTTGTTTCATTTATATAAGGATAGCCGCGATACATACAATTCGAAAATTGTTAGTGTTTTGTTATGTGTTGTGTTGAGAAGGAAGTCGGGAAGTTGAATAAGCAACTATTGTTGGTGCAGTTACATGTGGAAATGTGCAAGAGCCTATGCGGCGTGTATGTGAAAGTGTTGGCAATATTTCCTGAGCTAGAAGCAGCTCGTCCGCGGAGTACCTCCGGCATTCAGGCGCTGTGTACGCTGCACATAGCATTAGAGAAGACCAAGAATGTTCTTCAGCACTGTGCAGAATGCAGTAAGCTATACCTGGTATGTGCTTTCTTGGTTACAATGTTTACATTGTGTTCCATATTCCATATTAGCAATGTTACATTGGCTAATCACTTTTTATTTGCTATGTATGTATGTAACCAGGCAATCACCGGAGATTCTGTTGTTCTGAAATTTGACAAGGCACGATGTGCTCTTGAAGATAGTTTAAGGAGGGTTGAAGATATTGTTCCACAACCTACCAGGGATCAGGTAACGGATTATGCTTCGTTAATACAATTCCAATCTTTTAATGTTCACTTGACTTCAATCACGCCTCTTTTTTCAGATTGGTGAGATCTTGGGCGAGCTTAGCGGAATTGAGTTTTCACTTGATCCATTGGACAAGCAGATCGGGGATGAGATCATTGCGTTGCTCCAACAAGGGAAGAACTTCAACACCTCCAACGACAGCAACGAGCTCGAATCTTTTCACCAAGCGGCAGGTAAACTTGGAATCACCTCTTCGCGAGCAGCACTGCGAGAGAGACGAGCTCTGAAAAAGCTCATCGAAAGAGCACGAGCAGAGGAAGACAAACGGAAGGAGTCCATTGTTGCTTATCTTCTGCATCTCATGAAAAAGTACTCAAAGCTGTTCAGAAGTGATTTCTCAGATGACAACGATTCGCAGGGGTCCACGCCTTGTTCCCCTACAGTCCAGGGATCTTTCGACGATGGCATCACGCTCGGGCGTAATGGCTGTGCTTTTGACCGGCAGCTGTCGAAGCTCAGTTCTTTCAACTTCAAGCCACACTTGAGGCGATCTGAGGCGACGTCTGTCCCTCCGGAAGAACTGAGGTGTCCAATATCATTGCAACTCATGTTTGATCCGGTTATTATCGCGTCTGGCCAAACGTACGAGAGGGTGTGCATCGAGAAATGGTTCAACGATGGGCACAAGACTTGTCCCAAGACTCAACAGCAGCTCCCTCATCTGAATCTAACTCCCAACTATTGTGTTAAGGGCCTGGTGGCCAGTTGGTGTGAACAGAACGGCGCTCCTGTTCCGGACGGGCCACCCGAGTCACTCGATCTTAACTACTGGAGACTAGTCTTGTCTGAAAGCGAATCAGCGAATTCAAAGTTGGTAGAAAACAAGTTCAAGGGTGTCAAGGTGGTTCCTTTGAATGAAAATGAGAATGGCACCATTGCAGAGGCTGAAGGGAACGAAGAGGAGGCGGCCTCATCGCAGGGGGATGATCAAGATTACGAACCTCAGGCCTTCGACAAGTATGGAACCTTCTTGAGAATTCTAGAGGAAGACGGCGACCTGATGAAGAAATGTCAAGTTGTTGAACAATTAAGGCACGTGCTGAAGGATGACGAGGAAGCCCGAATTTACATGGGGGCCAATGGTTTTGTCGAAGCATTGCTGCGCTTTCTGGAATCCGCCGTCTCTGCCAGGAACAGCATTGCTCAGGAAATCGGTGCCATGGCTCTGTTCAACCTCGCTGTAAATAACAACAGGTATGCGAATTCTTTGAAAACTAGTCGATTTGCAGGAAGATCGTTGCCTAATGTAGGTAGAACTTCTTGATGCTATTTTTTCAGGAACAAAGAAGTGATGATGGCATCAGGAGTGCTTCCGATCCTTCAAAAAATGAGCGCCGGCAGTGATTCCGTAGGACCGGCCGCGGCACTTTACCTGAACCTATCCTGCCTGGAGGACGCCAGGCCGGTACTAGGAACTTCCGAGGCTGTCCCTTTCTTGATCTGGATACTTAAGAAGGAGGCCGACGAGCAAAGCAAGATGGACGCGCTCCATGCACTCTACAACATCGTGAGCCATCCCTCGACCATTCCCCAACTTCTGTCGGGCGGGATCATAGACGGCCTCCAAGCGCTGATGACTCATCCCAGCGACCACAAATGGACGGAGAAGTGCATCGCCGTGCTCGTCTTCTTAGCCTCGAGCCACACCGCAAAAGATGAGATCACCAAGGCGCCCGGCCTGATCAGCGCCATCGCCACCATCCTCGACGTCGGCGAGCCTGTCGAGAAAGAGCAGGCCGCAGCGCTGCTGCTCATCCTATGCAATGCCAATGAGACTTGCAGCCAAATGGTCCTTCAAGAAGGGGTAATCCCAGCGCTCGTTTCCATATCTGTAAACGGGACCCCGAGAGGCAAGCAGAAAGCGCAGAAGCTTCTGATGCTGTTCCGAGAGCAGCGACAGCGCGATCCTTCGTCCTCCCCCTCCCCCGCCCCCGCCCCCACTCTGCCACGCTCTGAGAGCACTCCGCCGGAGGTCCACCACGTCGAAGAACCAAAGCCATTGGCCAAGTCCGCGTCGCGCAGAAAGGTAGGCAAGGCATTGACCTTCTGGAAGAAAAACAAGAGTTTCTCTATATACCAGTGCTGAAAATTCTCCGGTCTCATCCGATCTTTGGGGTTTTGCTTCGCCTTCCTTCCGTTTCCAGGAGTGTTGATGATAGAGGCGATGAATCTGCTGCGGCACTCGCTGCAGTGCACAAGCTAAGCTAGGGTTATTGAGATCATATTGTAAGTTCTTCATAGAAAGATCATATCCTTGTGTTGCAGAAAAGATTAGTCAGAGTTATAGCTCCTGTATAGTCAACGCCGCCTGTAAATGATTGAATTCTGCCGTGTTTCGATGTAAGCCATATATATTTCGAGCTCCTAATTTGCGCCGCTGCTGCGCATGCATACTGTAGGTAGGAGACTACGGCAGTGTTGTTTTTTGGCAGTTGCATTCGGTTTCTATTACAACCTATACCTTCTGATCCGCGTTGGTTCTCAGAGGAGCTTAGCCTTTCCGGCTAGCCATATTCGAATTCCTGAAATAGATTTCCAATAGAATTCGCGCCGGCAGGCTCAGCGACAATGGAGAAGGAAGCTGAATAACAGATAAGTTGGCTAAACCATATATATATATATATATATCTATATAAGTGAGGATCGAAATGTAGCTATTCTTCTTCACCGTCTTCCCATGTCTCCTTGAGCAGCTGATACCGGAAAAGACTTCCGCCGCCCTTTTCCTTGGGCATTAAACTGAGCCTGGCTAGCGCGGATGATCTCTGGTGGCTATCCGGGATGATTGATGTCAAGGGCGATTCAAGCTCGTCCAGCTCATCATCGCTTGCATGTGATTTGTTGAGCGTCGACAATCTGCTGCTCTTAAGCACCTGACTCCCGACTTCTCCTACACAGCTGAGTAAAGCTGCAGGAGGGGGCGAGTATTTTGCTGGACTTGCGACGCACGGCAAGCTGGTGATCACGGCGCCAGATTGATCTTTAACTTCCTGAAACGAAAACAGCCAATGCAAGAGTTTGTTCAACCCCATAGGAGTTATGTAATAATGTAAAGGGCAGACAGAGATAGACCTCCGAGTCGAGGGTGTTCAAGATGCTCCGTGGAATTGGCTCCGGACAGAATTCGTCGGGAACAAAGTTGTTCAGAACCCTTTTGATTATCGTTGGTCCCAGCGTCGGACAAACCTTCAAAAGGATCGAGAAAAGAATGTTGAATAATGGAACTTAGAAAAACTAGTGACAAATTGATTAGATAGTCGCTTGCCTCCTTCCGGGTGGATGTATCGACAAGGATTCCGAATGGAATCATCATAAGATCGCTCAATGTGTGGAGGAGACGAAAAGCTTTGAACGCTTTTGATGAGCTGCCATCGCCAATAATGCCATTATCCTCAGCAGAATCATCTTCCAGACCGAAGAGATCTGTAAGCCATCTTGACCAGTTTCCAATCTACAAGACAATTGATGAAATGAAGTATTACGATCAAGCACAAGAAATACATATGTAGAGTCGGACAAAAAGCATTTGAAATAAGACAAACAACAGCAAAGGATCGGTCTAAACTTGTTGTTACTACTACTTACAGCATTTTTCAGCTGTGCACCAGCAGTAAAGCTCGATTTTCCCGGTGGCACCGGAAGGACCTTAGCATCGCTAATCGGATCAGAAATAGGATCGGTTGGCATTTCTTCGGCGGATTCGCGAAGAATAGCATTGAACATTGCTACGTCCAGCCGGTTAACTAACTGCTCCATCACCTGGAAAATTCATTACAAAGTCGCCTTATCAACATCCCCAATCCATCCTGATGCAATCATAATCATGCGATAGTTATCAAAATGTTACGACTAATACATACCATAATCAGCAGTGCAGACAAGCAGCCGCATTCATGTCCTGCAGCTCGAATCGGACAAAGCCTTTCGCATGCATCTTTGAACGCTTTCTTCCACAACTCCATAGATAAATTGTCATACTCATTGTTTCCCAAACCATTCCTCTTTCCGGTAGCCTTCTTTGTACCCGAGCCCTTGTTTCTGGACCTGACCTTTCCAGCTGCAGGTTGCATATGTGGAATAAAAGTCTACACAATACGAACAAGCAACGCATATTTCCGGACTTAGACTACTGACAGAGACACTCCAGTAAATCGAAACCACAGAAATCACCTCACCTGCCACCATACAGACTCGATGATTCGCAAAAACAGCCAGGATTCAACTTTTTCCAATGCTATAATGAATGTCATGATATCCTCCCAATCATCGGTTTCGGCTCCTTCTGAATGCGGCAGCTCTGCAGCTGTCTGAGTAACAATGGCCCTCAACATTATTGAATTCGATAGCCAGAATGTTAGCCTGTGGATTATTAATTTGGTAACGATGAACAGGTAGCATGAGAGAGAGGTGTAAGTTGTTAAAATTTGATTTAGCACTCTGTAAACCTACCTTTGAACATCGTTCCCGCAAGCTTTTGAAACCAGAACCAGACCTGATACTGCAGCCCGGGCTGCACTTGCTCGTTTCGACTGAGGACCTGTCTTTGAAACACTGGTATAAAATCTGGACAGTCGTCGAGCTGGTGTGTGAACCTTATTTGTGGAGCTTGAATGCTCAGCAACTATGGAGTACAAGCTCAGTTCCATCACTGCAGCTTCTCTCAATTCGTCCTCAAGCATCTCAGCTCTAATTCTCCACTCATTACTGTCGGAAAGATGGTTTTTTTGCTGTTTTGTTTCACTCTCTACATTCAGTTTACCTTTATTTGATGAGTTGTTGGGTATATCCAGACCTTGAGGTTTTACTGCGCCGTGCATCTCAGACAAACCATGTATCTGGATGGACTTTGCATGCTTTAAAGTTGCTTTGTTATTGCCGGATGGAGGGATTGCCGGTCCTTTCCTATCGGGAATAAGCGAATCACTCCTTGACATAACCTGAACCTTGGATGTGGCTTCTGATAACTTTCTATACAGCTTCTTGTCTTTTAATTTCTTCGTCTCGTCAGCTAGCTGTTTGCTCAAGACCGAATTCTGCTCATTTTTCTCCTTCCCATTCGACAAACTGGAGATTGCGTCATTTATCAGGAAGCCCTCTTGTTTCCACTCATTATCAGCAGATATAGCATCAGATTTAGCATATATTTTCTTGTAATGATCAGCTGATAAAAATTCAGGGGCAAATCTTTCTTCCACAATTTGTTGATTGCTTTTGCTAGCTTTGTGCCGGATGCTAGGACCTTCCTGCAAGGAGCTTCGTGCAATGTTGCTAAACATACCATTAACATCGCGGAAACTTATAGATGATGGAGAAGATCCAATGGCAGCGCTGTTAACAGAGTTCTTTGGGATATACGACATGCTTCTCTCAGAAAACTTGGATCGAGGCACACGGCTATTTGTTTTGCTCTTCCAAGTATCCGGAGATGCATCAGTCGATGAAGACCATAAGTTTCTGTTTTGCTGTTCGAATCCAGTATTTGCATATTCATTCTGCAATTTTCGAATAAGCTAAGATAAGCAATTAAACTTGATCTCAAATTTTCAATACAAATATAGACAATAATGATAGAATCAAGTAACTCCATACCCTTTCGTTTAGAGATGGAGATGCTGATGCTGATGCAGCATCATACGATAGCGAGCCAGTGGTCCTTGAAGAATAAGAGGAAGTATCATCATCAGTCCAAGATGCCATTTCGGAGTCATCGTCATTATAGTTCATTGCTTCCTTTAATAGACCACCACCAGGCGACGAATTTGGGCTATCTTTTGCAACCGGCTCGAGGCTGATAGCCAGAGCTGGTTGCATCATGTTTCCAGCGATCTTCTTAAAGTTCATTGGAACTTCAACAATCACTGTATCTTCTAATCTTCCGTGATCAGCAAGATTCACCAAAGCTGTCCCCAGGAGCTGACCTTTAACCTTATCCTTCCGCGGCTCGTACAAGCTGAATTCGAGATAATTCTTCCTCAACTTACCGCTGGACTTTTGGTAAAGACCCGATGAAAGCATGAATGACTCGTTGAATACAATGTTTGAATCTCCGGCGACCGACAGAAAGGAACCGCAATTGTTGCTGCCGTTTTCCCATTGAAGCAGCACCGTTTGGATCGACCGCAGCGCCTCGGATGGAGGCCATGGCCTAATCTGCTGTACGTGGACTATGTAGTTAACTTTGATGAGAGTACCTTTCTTGTGCTTCGATTTCATCCCCAAAACCATTGCTCGAGATTATTCGTCTCTGCTACGGATCTGAGCACGTAAAATTATCAGATTCCATCCGACAAACTTGATCGACAAAAAAACACCACCGACTCGCAAAATAGTGATAACTTCATCGCAACAGAATTACTGCTCACGAACATTCGGAAACGATCTTTCATTTCATCCAAATGTTTAGCTAATCTAAGTCCTCTCACACACAGTTTCAGTTCACAATAAGTTTGCGTAGTCACAACCACAAAAACCGCATAACAACAAATTCTCCGTTCGAACGATGGAGCAAACGAATAACAAAACGAAAGCATCACCAATTACGCAACGGAATCGGAAACCGTATCGACTGAAAAATGTCGCATTCATACAGCGTAAAACGCAAAAACAAATTTATATTGCTCGAGTTCGGTTTCACCTTGATCGAAGCAACAGTGGCGGTTCCGATCCCCTGCAATGCTCCCAAGCCTCTCAACTCCAGTTTCCGCTCGCCGGAATATGCCTTTGTTTGTGGAGGACGAAGAGGCAAAGCAAGGAATATAGGAACTGAAAATTGAGAAGAAGACGGTGTAGTCGCAGGGCGATCAGTCCTCCCGCTGTCAGCTTTTTTGAAAGTATCAATATGAACAACAAAAATTCATTCAACCAAATAATTATATATCTACCTGGAAATAAATGATAATAAAAAAATATTCTGATTTTCTTTTTCTTTAATATGATAATAAAATTTGTATGAAAATACTGAGGATTTTCGGAAAATATGAATTAATGGCATCCATCATAATTAGTAATAAAGATTGAAATAGTAATATATATACTCAAGTATTTACTATTAATAAATCGTGACATAGTACTTTTTTTGGTAATAATAATAATAATAATAATAATAATAATAGAGTAATGCATGAAAGTGGGAATGTTGAAGCACCCACGTCTTTGTTCAAAAGTTCAGCTTGAGAAAAAAAAAAAAAAAAAAAAAAAAAAAAGAAAAACCTAAATATTTGGGTGGCTTGTGTTAGAAAAGAAAATTTGTATTTGAATTATATATTTAATAATTATTCCGTCCCAATTAAATTATTTTATTTAGTGTAGAAACTAAGTTGGATTGGATATTGTATAATCTAAAATTAACTATGATTTAATAAAAATAATTATAAATTTAGATTAATATAACTAAATAGTTTAATTAAAATAAAAAAAAATTATAAATTATAAATTTAAAAATATAATTAAATTGTATAATTATATTTTTTTTAAAAAAGAAAAATAATGTATGACAGACCAAAATAAAAAAGACCAGATAAATTAAGTGGAACCGATAGTATATATATTAATGCATAATTGTAAAATTGAAATTCTTCTGGTAAGGGATGAATGAAAAACCATTTGACAAGCAAAGTGGGGCTTTATTATTATTATTATTATTATTATACAAAAAATAAGTTTGATATATATATATATATATATATATATCGGGGGAATAAGAGAATTGCGTGATTGATGGAAAGTGCACCCACCAACAAATAAAGGGAATGCATGTCCTATCCTATATATCCTGTGGCAATCAATCATATTCACTTTCAAATTTTAATGGGGCTAAAAAAATATGGTTGTGAACCATTGCTCACTCCAACTCATATCTTGCAAAGGAATTTAGGGTGTGTAATGTTGGGTTTGCGAACATTGGGTTGGGGATTGGTTTGAATTTAAATTTTTTTTGGAATTTTGGGAATTTGTATTTCTTTGGTGTAGTAGATTTTGTTTGATTTTGAAGGATTTTATTGGATAGTGATTTGATAGATAATGATTAGAGTGATGAGATTATTTATATTATTAAAATAATTTATATTAAATATATAAAATGTAAGAAATATGAAGTGTGATGTTTTTCTTTTATTAATTTTCTTTTCTTAGTTAACGAAAAAAAGGGAAAAAAAAAAGAAAAAAGAAATAAATTAATTCTGGCAGTAGCCTACAGTTACGTGCGGAAGAACAAGTGGAAGAAATATTTTTTCAATGCAAGTTACGTTTGATATATAATAAAAAAGATGTAACCGACGTGAAATAGTATGTCAAATATCAAAAGTTAACAAGCGTCAATGACAAAAATATGTCATGCGCGTAGGCCGTCTTGTGGCGTGCAGTACATTACAAATCATCCGAGAATTACGTAAGACCGAAACAGAAATAAGTAGATAAGTCACGGTCGTGCCCGTGTGTTGGCAATTGATTGCGGTCCATAACCATAGAACTAGCAGAATACAAGTAAATGTGCACAGTCATGCACTTATGGTGTAAATGAACTGCTTCTCGTATACATAAAAGGCAAGGGGTATGGAAAGACTCACCATGATCAAATCCTACACACTAGCCTGCACATTCGTCGCCTAGGATGTGGTTTCGCGCGCATTCATAAGCCCACAGTAACACTACAGTTGGTTTCCCAAACTTAACGCCAAAAGAATACACACTTAGTATTCTAGAATCAAAACCTTTTATACTCTGCCTTTTTATTTATTTACTTTTTAAATAAAATATTTCTTTAATATAATATTTTAAATAAAATAATAATTTGATAAAAAAAAAATCATAAGTAACAAACCCTAATCATTATTAGCATAACAATATTCAATTCATTGAACTTGACCTAAATTAAAAATTGCATTAAGAGATTAAAACAAACATATTAGTCACTACTAATTGACATATTCATTGAATTTGACCTAATTTTAGAATTACATTTACTAATATGTCTAATATTTTATTCTAAATATCAATAGCATTTATTAAAAATGGTTAATATCTAACTTATGTACTGTTATACAAAAATAAAACAACTCAACAATTAGCATCTATTAAATACACACGAAATGATTTCCCTAACAATAATTGACAGAATTTGATTTTAATATTTAAATCGACAATAATAATTAAAGATTCTGCCAGCTTTGCAACTTGAACAACTTTTCGTTGTTTGGCTTCCCTTCGCAGTTTTCGCTCAATATTCTCGATCTCAAGATTAAATATCAGTTTACTTGTACGAGAAGAACGAGGCATAAACAGAAGAATAAATAAAAATAACACAAAAGAGTAAAACAAAGCGCCAATCCCCAGCAACGGCACCAAAAATTGACCTGTCGCGCGGTCAATCAAATATTTCATCTATTCCGTGATCACAATTTAATATAATAAGGTAAAGGGATCGTCTCCACCGGGATTGTGTGCTTCACTCTTTCGTGTTCTAATGCAGTAAATAATTGAAGGAAATTTTCTTTTATTATCTAATGAAAAAAAAACAATTAAATTAAGGGATAAATAGCTATTAAGGGGATGTCTGGCTCAAGGGATGATACAGTCATAACAGTTGTGTTTTATCATTGATTCAATAAAGTTGGTTCTTATTAAAGTATCAATAAATTAGTTATAGTTATCAACAAGCTCTGACAACCAATTTTTCCTTACAGTGTAGGTAATTAACGTACGACCGTTAACTACCCCTAATTAAGCAAATAAAACTAGGTGCGCCCATAGAAAATATTGTCAAATCGCATTCTAATCTAGAAAAACCGAATTCAAAAGTATTACTATCTAAGATGAGCAATTAGATTTGATTGTCTAACCCTCGAGAATGAATTATTCAACCCGGTTGTCACCTATTAAAGTGCGAATACAATTACGGATATTCTACCTGAATTGACTTTAGATTATCAGACTAATTCAAATATAGGTACCAAAATATTCAATCAATCTAACAATCACAAACGTTATTTTCAGAATTAAACAAATATTGATAATTAAAAAGAACTTTTATAAATAAAATTAAGAATCTCCAAAACAAAAGAACCAAAACATTATCACCTCTCAAACCAGAAAAATATTTACTTCATAATCAAAGAACAAAGAACAAAAGAGAAAGATAAAGTCACAACGGGAGGGGAAATCTTCTCTGTCAATTTGCTCATGCGCAATCTATGAGTCTATGAGTCTTCTGCTTTTGTGCGTATCTGCTCTGGCCGTTCCCCCCCTCATGTGCGCATCTGCTCTGGCCGTTCTTTTCCTCATGTGCGTATCTGCTTTGGCAGTTCTCCCCTCTTCTAGGTGTGATCCTCCATTTTTATTTAATTTTTGCCTTAATTATTTTGTAGCTGTGTTTTTGGGCCTTTAATTAAATTCTCATGTCAGGAGGGTATAGTTAGTCATGACAATGACTGAATTCATTGTCGCTGATTTTTTTCTTTTATTTTTCTCCAAATTCACCAAAATTGTCTTTTATTTCCTGCATGTCGGAAATAAACAATACGCACTGAAATTAGGCAGAATCTAATCAAAATCAATCAAATATCGCATATGATATGAACATAAAACGCATACAATTTCTAGCTATTAATTATAAGATTATAATCAATATCAATATATTATTATAATATTACACACATCAATTTTAAATAAGTATAATAATACTGCATATACACTGAATTGTAATTAGATTATTAGAATGTACAACATTCTCCACTTTACTTTTTCCTCTTCAAATAAATTATAGGAATCTCGTAAATTAATAAAGAATCAGAGGGTATTTTTTTATTGGTAATTTTTCTATATTTCGGTTTTATTTATTTATTTTGATCAAATATTTGGATCAGTGTTACAAAATTGTAAATATTGAATAATAGAAATAACACCCCATAGTTACTATAATACATTTGCAACATAATGTTATGTAACACAAAATAGGTAACTATTTATGGCACAATTTTATTTATATATGGTTTGTCTTCAATGATTATTTGAATGAGAATAAAATTTGATAAGTAAACAATTATATAGAGTATGTTATAATACACTATAAATAATTTATATATTATAGTCAACCAACTATCTCATCATACCCTATTAGTAATAGATCAAGGTGTATTTTGTTTGTGTGAGTTCTTAAATAATTCTCAATAATTTTTTTTATTTTTTTTTATATATTTTCAATAAAATAAAATTTATTTAAAAATTTAGTATTCTAGAATCAAAACCTTTTATCTCCTGCATTTTGATTTATTTACTTTTTAAATAAAATATTTCTTTAATATAATATTTAAAAAAATAATAATTTGATAAATAACAAATTCTAATCATTATTAGCATAACAATATTCAATTCATTGAACTTGAGACTTAAACTAAAAATTGCATATAAGATATTAAAACAAACATATTAGTCACTACTAAATAACATATTTATTGAATTTGACCTAATTTTAGAATTACATTTACTAATATGTCTAATATTTTATTCTAAATATTAGTAGCATTTATTAAAAATGGTTAATATCTAACTTATCTACTGTTATACAAAAATGAAGCAACTCAACAAATAGCATCTATTAAATACAAATGCAATGATTTTCCTAACAATAATTGAAAGAATTTGATTTTAATATTTAAATTGACAATAATGATTAAAGATTCTGCCAGCTTTGCAACTTGAGCAGCTTTTCGTTGTTTGGCTTCCCTTCGCAGCTTTCGCTCAACCTTCTCGATCTCAAGATTAAATATCAGTTCACCTCTACGAGAAGAACGAGGCATAAACAGGAGGATAAATAAAAATAACACAAAAGA